ACAGGTACAAAAAAAATGTTTTAAAAACAATTTCATTATGATTCAAAAAGAAAAAATTTTAATGAAATTTTTACATTTGCAGACTGAAGAACCGGATGATTGGTTAAGGTTTGGAAATCCATGGGAAAAAGCAAGGCCTGAATATATGATTCCCGTTAACTTTTACGGAAAAGTTATTGATACTCCTACGGGAAGAAAATGGATAGATACTCAGGTTTTCAAAATTTTTATTACTCCAAACACTTTTCAAATTCACAACATTTTTTTTTTTTTTTTTTGTTTAATTTATGCCTGTTTTTTTTTACCTTCCAGGTTATATTTGCCATGCCTTACGACAGTCCAGTGCCAGGATATGACAACAACGTCGTCAATACTTTAAGATTATGGTCAGCTAAAAGTCCGATTAGTTTTAATCTTAAATTTTGTACGTTATTATTTATTTAAATTTTATTGTAAATTTTTCTCTCGAATTATATAAAATTTTATTTTTATTTTTTTTTTTTGCAGTTAATGACGGAGATTATATTCAAGCTGTCATTGATAGAAATTTAGCCGAAAACATTTCAAGAGTTTTATATCCTAACGATAATTTTTTTCAAGGAAAAGAATTAAGATTGAAGCAAGAATATTTTATGTGTGCAGCCACTTTACAGGTTTTAATTTAAATTTTTAAAAAAGGTTCGTTCGAAAAAGTACTCGTGAATAATTAATTTTTTTTTTTTTTTTAAGGATATAATTCGGAGATTTAAGTCTTCCAAGTTTGGATGTAAACAAGCAGTCAGAACTTCTTTTGAATCTTTTCCCGAAAAAGTTGCTATTCAGTTAAACGATACACATCCGTCTCTGGCTATTCCAGAATTAATGAGAATTTTGGTCGATGTGGAAGGATTACCTTGGGATAAGGTAGTCACTTAATTAGGACCTTAAATCAATTTTTCTAATAATTATAACGATTACACGCAAAGAGTAAAAAGAAAATTTACTGGATGTATCAAACAATTATATAAAATCGTTTTTTAAATGTTTTTTTTTTTTTTTGAGGACATATTCAAATGAAAATTCGTCATTTATTATTATTATTATTATTTCTTAAGTTATTAAAAAATTTACAATTAATTGTACAAATCAGTTTTTCCAAATAGTCTTCTTTTTATTTTAGGCCTGGAACATCACCGTTAAAACTTGCGCCTACACGAATCATACCGTTTTACCGGAGGCTTTGGAAAGGTGGTCTTGTTCAATGTTAGAATTTATATTACCGAGACATTTGGAAATAATTTATCACATAAATCATTTACACCTCGAGGTCTGTCAATCATATCATTTTTGATTTAATTAATATTTTCAAAGTAGGTCGAAAAATTTTTCTTATTTATTTTAGGAAGTGCGCAAAAGATTTCCCAACGACATGGATAAAGTTAGAAGAATGTCATTGGTAGAGGAAGAAGGTGAAAAACGTATCAATATGGCACATCTTTCTATCGTGGGTTCTCACACGATTAATGGCGTGGCTAGAATTCATTCGGAAATACTCAAAAGAGACATGTAAAAATGATTTTTACTTAATAAAAATAATTCTTCCTATTCACTCTCACAACTAATTCTTTTTGTTTTAGATTTAAAGATTTTTACGAGATGACGCCGGAAAAATTTCAAAATAAAACCAACGGTATTACTCCGAGAAGATGGTTACTACTTTGTAATCCATCTCTTGCGGATCTTATTGCAGAAAAAATCGGAAACGAATGGCCCGTTCATTTGCATCAATTAAAACAACTTCGGACATTTGCAAAAGATCCAGTTTTTCAAAACAGTATTAGATTAGTCAAACAAGAAAACAAATTGAAATTAGTTAGCTTGTTAGAAAAAGAATACGATATAAAAATTAATCCGTCCAGTATGTTTGACATTCAGGTATGTACTCTTTTATATATATATAAGTTCACTCTCTATTCATCTTTAAAATAAAATTTTCTTTGTTGATTTCAGGTCAAAAGAATTCACGAATACAAAAGACAATTGTTGAATTGCCTCCATATTATCACATTGTACAATAGAATAAAAAAAAATCCGAGCATCGAAATTGCTCCGAGAACAATCATGATCGGTGGAAAGGTCGGTTACCATTGTTGTGTTATTTTCATCTTTTCAAAATTCGACTCTCGAACCTTAAAAAAACCTTTTCTTTGGAATTTTATTTTTTTTCAGGCTGCTCCCGGTTATTACACCGCGAAACAAATAATCAAATTGATTTGCACCGTATCGAAAGTAATCAACAGCGATCCCGTCGTTGGAGATAAATTAAAAGTTATTTTCTTGGAAAATTATAGAGTTACTTTGGCTGAAAAAATAATACCCGCTGCGGATTTAAGCGAACAAATATCTACTGCCGGCACGGAAGCTTCCGGAACCGGAAATATGAAATTCATGGTGAGAACGCGTATAGACCATTATGGAAATGTCAGTTAATAAATCAAATTTGAAAATTTTTTTTTTTTTTGTCAGTTAAATGGAGCTCTTACGATAGGAACAATGGATGGAGCAAATGTCGAAATGGCTGAAGAAATGGGAGAAGAAAACATATTTATTTTTGGTATGAGAGTTGACGACGTTGAAAATTTAAAGGTCGGTCATTAATTAATGGTTTTAAATGTTTCAATCGATGGATTTTGATTCGCGAGATCATTTATATATTTCAGAAAGAGGGATACGACGCATACAAATATTACAATTCAAATCCTGAACTTAAACAATGCATCGATCAAATACAAATGGGTTTTTTCAATCCGGAAAATCCTAACGAGTTTCAACAGTTGGCGGATATCCTATTAAAATACGATCGATTTTTTTCCCTTGCGGATTACGAAGATTATATTAAATGTCAAGACGAAGTCGGTAAAACTTACATGGTAAGTAAACAAAAAAAAAAAAAAATCAACTGCGCTTTAAATAATGATAATAATAATGAAATCGTAAACTTATTAAAAAAATTTTTAGAATCAAGAAAAATGGTTGGAAATGGCTATAAATAACATTGCATCATCCGGAAAATTTTCTTCGGATAGAACGATCGAAGAATACGCTAGGGAAATTTGGAAAGTCGAACCGAGTTATGAAAAATTACCACCTCCCCACGAAACAAAAGATAAATAAATAAATTAAAAGTTGCTTTTATTAATTGTTGTCAGTTGGAAAAATCGTATCGTAATTTAATTTTACAAAAAGATTTTTATTTATTTGTTTACTTAATTATTTTTTTTTTCAATGCTACGTGTTTACAAAAATGATTATTATAAATGAAAATAAATATTTTTCTACAATTTATTTTTTCTATATAAAATGAAATATATATATATATATATATATATATATATATATATATTTAAAATATTTAATTAAAATAATTATATATTACATAAATAATTAATTATTATTTTTAAATATTGAAATATATTAAAATGTTTTTTTTTTCGATTACGTTATGTAGAATTTGATGTATTCTTTTTAATAATTTTTTTTTTTTTTTTTTCTATTTTTTGTAATAATTGTCATAACGTGCTCTAGGTGCTGTTCTTGTTACGGGAAAGCAACGCACCAACGCATCTCCACTAGTATTCGGAGGACAAGAACATACAGCTATGTGATTTCGTACCTAAATGATAAAATATTATCGTAAGTTACTTATTGAATTTATATAATTATACATTTGTAAACCTTATTTACGTACCTGACAATCAGCACCAACTCCGCATTGATTATTACAGGGATTAACGCATCTGTAATTAGAATCGCAAACTTGAGTGTGACTACAATCTCCGTCCGTTTGACATTCACCTCTTCGACAAGACACCAATGCATCTCCTATATACCCAGAAGGACAGGTACAAACCGGACGATCTTTTCCAGTTCTATCAAATCCAGGAGTACATTGAGCATTAGTACCACAGGGATTCGGCTGACATAGATCTTCTGCTCATTGAAAATTTACAAAGAGTTTAAATGAATTAATAACAAATAAGTAAGATAAAAGTTTTTGTTGGAATTACCCTTTTCGAAAGGTCTGCATCGTACGAAAGGATCTCCCGTCATGTCTTTCGGACAAGAACAAACAGCTGTTTTCCCATCGCGAACTTTACAATTTGCATTTATTCCACAAACTCCTTTACACGGATCAACGCATTTGTTATTTATGCACGTGTATCTTTGCGATGGACAATCATTACTCGTGTGACATTCTGCTCTGCACGATAAGTACGGATCTCCATAATAATTCTAAAAAAAATGAACGATTTTGGAAAAAAAGAAAATTTCATTTTGTAAAATTGATTTGTTTGTTGACTTACATCTGGACATTTGCACGTGGGTCTATGATTGACAACTTCACAATTAGCTCCGGTACCACAAACTCCAACTTCGCATGCATTTATACATTTATAACTTTTACAAAATTGTGATCCACTACAATCGGAATCATATTCGCATTCGTGTTTGCAACCCGTTAACGGTTGACCTCTATAACCGGGTAAACAGGAACACGTGGGAACATTATTAATGACATTACATTGAGTATTAGAACCGCATGGACTAGGATTACATAGTTCCTCTACAAAAAAAAAAAAATTTCCCGTTTAAAAAATTAAATAAATTTTAATAAAATCCACGGATTTTCACGACTTACGAGGATCTACTCTTTTGCATCCGGTAAATGGATCACCTCTGTAATGTTGAGGACAACTACAAACGGGTACGTGATTTTTAACATCACAATTTGCATTTAATCCACATTGTCCGGCACACGGATCCACACATTGATTATCTCTACAAGCTTTGGATGGAGAACATTCCGTATTATCTGTAAAAAAAAAAAAAAAACTACTTTGTTTATTTCCTTTCTCATTTTCCAGCGAGGGGAGGGGGTAAATTTAGCCAATACCTTGACATTCTCCCTTTTGACAATTAGTCAATGGATTCCCGTGATAACCAGATAAACAAGAACAAACAGGTCTTCCCGAAGACACGAAACATTGAGTATTACGACCGCAAGGATTAGGATGACAAGGATCTTGTGGCATCGACGTGGAAAAATCAACGAATAATAATAATATTAAAAATATCGGAAAATTTATATCCATCTGAAAATTTTCCAAATCGGATTTGAAAAATATTTTTTTACTTATATAAAATTAATAAGAAAAAGAAAAATTACCTTTATTTATTTATATGTAAAAATTTAGGTTTTAATAAAACGAAAAAAAAAAAAAAACTTTTACTAAAACAAACACATTCGAAATGATCCACGAATTTATAAAAACTAAAGATTTTAGTTTGTTTTTCCTCTTAAAATATAATAAAAACAAATTAATAAATCCACCTCCGTATTTTATATGCCAACGCAAACTATCATTTCCATTATTATAAACCTACCTGGTAACAAAACCTTGTTGTGTTACAAGGTTTTGTTTTTGTTTTTAGGTTTCTCAAAAGGGAAAACGAATGTTGTAAACATGGCCAAGAAAACATACAAAAAAAAAAAAAAAAAACTTATTAATCATCTTCAATCAAAGCTTTTACCCATAATAATATTATAAATTGTTTAAAAAACCCTTCTCTCGTTGTTTTTTTATGATTAAAAAATTGTTTAAAATAAAAGGCGGGAAATGGTTTTTAAAAAAATTCTCCATTTTGAACTTTATTAATTAAAATCCCCTTTAGTAATTAATTATTTCATATAAATTTTTTATTTTGACAAAAAATAATTTGAAAGTTTTTCAAAACTATTTCATTATTGCATAATTAAATGAATAATATAAACAAAATGTTTATTTTAAACCGGTTTAAAAGTTTAATAACTTTAAAAAAAAAAAAAAAACTTTTACAACAATATTTTCATACACACACACACACTTTCTACAAAACAAAAATTTTTTATAAATTATTGATTTTTTTTTTAAATAATAAAAGAGAAAGAGAGAGAGAGTTTCTTATACATTAATGTAATCTACATAATATCATCATATTTTATTAAATTTAAATAAATTATTTAAAATAAAAAAAAAATAAATTTTGATAAATGTGTGACTAAGTATATAATATGGTTTTTTAGGGCATTATTTGTTTTATGTTGGGTCAGTTATTTACTTTAGATTAATTTTTTATTGATTGATTGAAAAAAAAAAAAATCAATTTTTCTTTTAGTTTTCATTGTTTTCTTTTTTTCAAATTAAAAAGATTTTTCTTTTATTTTCAAATTAAGGTATAAATATTAAATATGAAAAATGTGTTGAAATAATATGTTTGTTTGTTTGTTTGGTTTGTCAATTTCAACATGTCATTGTGACATAATATTTAAAATTTTTAAGGTAAAATTTTTTGTTTTCCTTTTTTTTCCAGATGCTACATCTTTTTACTTTTTAAATAGATAATAATAATAAAAACTATTTAATAATCCTTGACACTCCTTCAACCAATGAATAATATCATTCGCCATTTTCCATTTTTGGAATCGGTAAAAAAATTACAAACAATTTTTTGATTATTTCAATCAATAATTTCTTTTTGTTGTCATTTTTATTTGTATATATATATTTTAAACAATTTTTTAATAGGAAACGTTTAAATTTTATCGATTAAATCCAAAAAAAAAAAAAAGTTATACCGAAAAATACATTATGAAGAAGGAATTTAAATAATTTTAATACGTTGGCTTTGATATTAATTTTCATGTTTTTTTTTTTTTCTGAAAATAACTTATCAAATTTTATTAATCGTTAAAATATTCTTTTAGAAAATGATATGAAACATAGCAATTTTAATTCAATGCATTATAAATTAGATTTTAAGCATACGGTTTATATTAAATTATTCAAAATTATTAGGTAAGTTTTA